CTTTTTTTTTTTTTTTTTTTTTTTTTTTGAGACAGGGTCTCGCTCTGCTCTGTCACCCAGACTGGAGTGCAGTGACGTGATCTCAGCTCACAGTAACTTCAGCCTCCCGGGTTCAAGCTATTCTCTTTCCTCAGTCTCCCGAGTAGCTGAGGCATGCGCCACTACGACCGGCTGATTTTTGTATTTTTAGTAGAGACGGGGGTTTCAACATGTTGGTGAGGCTGGTCTCGAACTCCTGACCTCGTGATCCGCTCGCCTCGGCCTCCCAAAAAATTCGGGGATTACAGGCAGGAGACACCGCGCCCGGTCCCGCCCTGCCCCTTTCTTTCCTCGGTGCTGGGTGTGAAGACAGAGCCCGGAGGCCAGGACCGCAGGAGAGGCACGCAGCCTGCATCTTCAGGGCGTCCACGCCCCTGGTCTCTGTGGCCTCAGGTTCCCCTCTGGGGAATGGGGCAAACCTTCCGGAGATAAGGTGACCCAGGGACCAGCCCTATGCTGAGGAGGTCTCCGGCCCTCGACAAGCTTCTAATCCAAGAGGCCTCCCAGATGCACCTCAAAATGTGCCCATTTCGCGGACGGAAACACCGTCCAAATAGTAGGCTCCGTTCCAAGAGCGGGGTTATTCCTGCCGGGTCTTGCTAGCAGCCTTGTCGGGCGGGGATCTGGTCGCGGCCGCCTGCCCCGGCTCGGCTGCGTGGATAACCCGGCCTGGAGTTTCCGCCTTAGGACCTGGCTCCTGTGATGGGAGGGGGGAGAGAAACCTCTGCGGCGTCCAGGGGGCGTGTCTGGGCAGGGGCGGGGCTGGCCTGGGACCTGGAGGAGGAAGAGGGGGCAGGTGCAGCCGGGAGCTGCGGAGCTGGAGGGAGGAGGACGAGAGCCGCCAGGCCCTCAGAAGCTGTGACCCTCCCCAGCCTCCTTCCCCAGCCCGGGGTGGGGGCCGATTGACTGTTTCCAGGCCCTGCCTCGGGTAGGGGGGCTGGAGAGCCCCCAGGTGGACCATGGCGGTGAGATTCCAGGCGAGTAACCCTCCGAGGGCGGCGGGGGGAGGGGTTCGGGCTGGGGTGGTGGGGGGAAGCAGGGTTTGGGAGTCGACCCAGGACAGCAGAACACCTTCTACCTACATAACAGGCAGGGAAACTGAGTCCCAGAGGGATGAAGTGGCTAGCTGGAGGTTGCACTTCGAGATGCTTCCGCGCCCCCCATCCCTGCCTCCAAAGACCATCCCTGCTGGAACCTCCTCTGCCCCAGGACCGGCCTCCTTTAATCCCACAGAGCTGGGTTCAAATCCCCAATTTTCTGTCCACTATGCTGTGTGTAACGTGGGCCCAGTGAGTGAACCCTCTCTTTACCTCATCTGATAAATGGGTGATCAGCATTTTAAACAGAGGGAAAATGTATTTGAAGAGCTTGGCGCATCGTAGGTGGGCTGGAGAGATGTTCATCCCCCTTTGCTGGGGGTGTGCAGCCGGCTGAGCTCGGGCGCCCATGGTGGCACGGTGGGCAGTGACTTCATTTGTGGGCTGGGGTGGCTTTGGTGAACATTCACCTCCTACAAGGCTGCAGGAGGGAGCACCAGCATTTATTGGGTGCCCACTGTGTACAGAGCCGTTAACAGGCATTACCAGGCAGAGGCAGGGGTGGGGTGAGCAAGCCGGCCGGGGTGCGCCGTGGTAGGGGCGGGGTGGAGGGGCGATCCTTGTCTCCAGAGGGATTTCACCCTCCAGGCATGGAGCCTGGACTGGCTCCTTCACACCCACCAGCCAGGGTAGACTGGGGTTGCAGTGGTATGTGGCCAGACCCAGGCCACTCAGCCCCAAGCTTCAGGACCTGGCACTTCTGGTTTCCACTGACTTCCTCCTGGCCTCCAGGTACAGCTCTCAGAATCCCCTCCCCAGTCGGTGTATCTGTTGGCTGAAACCTCCCCGTCTGCCATTGTTTCTGGAAGTGGGGTGGGGAGGGGAGAAGGGACGGTGGCCTGGGAGCCCCGTGCCCCGGGGCCGTGTGACTTGGTACCGCCGTCCCCTCTGGGCGGGCCTCTTGTTCGGCGTTTGTGTCCAGCCCTGGGCGGGGGGCGGGGACAAAGACCCAAGCCCCACCCTCTCGGAGCTCACCTGGACAGGGGCAGGGCCGGGAACTCAGGACGCACCTGTTGAGCACCTGCCACAGTGTGTTTTATTCAACCAGTCCCTCGTTCCTCAAACTCTTTCCTAGGGGGACCTGGTCTTATGGGGTCCCAGGGGCCCATCCCTGCCCATCGGGAGCCCTCAGACTGAGGGGGAAGGTGTAGGGTGGAGAAATGCACTCTGACATCCCACATCCCAATCATCACACTTGGGCCAGACGGAAGGATGTATGATATGCGTACGGAGGAAGAGACTGGGGCTGTGAAGGATGAATAGGAGTTTGCCAGGGAATCCAGCACCAGCACCCAGGGCCTGGAAAGCAGACTGATGGCCGATCACCTGGGCTTTAAGTAGCCAGAGAGACAGACATGCCTCCTTTCACAGATGAAGAGAAAAGACCAGAACCGTACCAACTGATGGTTAAAGGGAATAAAGATGATTTTTAGATGCCTTGAATAAAAAATCATAAAACAGGCCGGACGCGGTGGCTCACGCCTGTCATCCCTGCACTTTGGGAGGCTGAGGCGGGCAGATCACCTGAGGTCAGGAGTTTGAGACCAGTCTGACCAACATGGTGAAACCCCGTCTCTACTAAAAATACAAAAATTAGCCAGGCGTGGTGGTGGGTGCCTGTAATTCTAGCTACTTGGGAGGCTGAGGCACGAGAATCTCTGGAAACCGGGAGGTGGAGGTTGCAGTGAGCCAAGATCGCACCATTGCACTCCAGCCTAGGCGACAGAGTGACACTCTGTCTCAAAGTAATAATAATAATAATAATAAAACAAGCAGGAGTGATTGGGGATCAGAGAAGACTGGTTAGTTAGGTGGTCAGGGAGGACTTCCTGAGGAGGTGGCATTTGAGCCTAGACTTCAGTGGCTGGGGCCAGCCAGGCAGGAATCCCATGAAACATGTTCCAGATTCAGGGGACAGACGGGGTAAAAGTTTGGAGGTGAACTAAGATGAGGTGGGCTGTGAGGTTAGGCTTAATCCCTCGGGCACTGTGGAGCTCTGGAGGGTTTAGACAAAGCTTCTGGTTTCCGTGGAGACAAACCCGCACAAGCTGGGACAAGCCTGGACCACCTGGACTCCCTCACCGCTCTCCTCATCTGGGGCCCTGGTTCCCTGGGACTGTCTCTCTCTTTTTTTTGAGACAGAATCTCACTCTTTTTTTTTTTTTTTTTTTTTAAGAAGGAGTCTCACTTTGTCGCCTAGGCTGGGGTGCAGTGGCACGATCTCGGCTCACTGCAAGCTCCACCTCCCGGGTTCACGCCATTCTCCTGCCTCAGCCTCCTGAGGAGCTGGGACCACAGGTGCCTGCCACCTCGCCCGGCTAACTTTTCTATTTTTTGTAGAGATGGGGGTCTCACTATGTTGTTCAGGTTGGTCTCGAACTCCTGGGCTCAAGCCATCCTGTTGCCTCGGTCTCACAAAGTGCCGGGATTATAGGCAGAAGCCACTGTGCCTGGCCCTGGGACCATTTAATGACACAAAGTATAACATCAAAGCAGGTTAAAAAAAAAAAAGATGCAATTTTGAAAACTAAGCTCAGAAGAAAAACAGTAAATAATCAGAAAGCCACTATGGCCTGGTGGTTAAGAGCAAGAGTGACGCTGGGTGCGGTGGCTCACGCCTGTAATTCTAACACTTTGAGAGCCTGAGGAGGGAGGATCGCTTGGGCCCAGGAATTTGAGACCAGCTTGGTCAACGTAGCAAAAACCCCATCTCTACAAAGAGAAAAAAAAAAAATGCCGGGTGTGGTGGTGCATGCCTGCAGTCCCAGCTTCTCGGGAGGCTGAAGCAGGAGGATCCCTTGAGCCTGGGAGTTCAAGGCTGCAGTGAGCTGTAATTGAGCCACTCCAGCCTGGGCAACAGTGAAACCCTGTATCAAAAACCAACCAACCAACCAAAAAAGAGCCAGAGAACAGGGCAGGCTGCCAAAGTTCACCACTGTGCTGTGTGACCTCAGGCAAGTTACTGAACCTCTCTGGGCCCCTTTTAATCTCACTGCTAAAGTAGGAATAGTAACCGTGCCACTTCCTAAGGTCACTCTGAGGATGAAATGAATAGGTCCACATCAAGCGCCCGCTCGCAGCCAGCATGGACAAGGAGAGCTTTGGGAGGCCGAGGCAGGAGGATCACCTGAGGTCAGGAGTTCAAGACAGCCTGGCCAACATGGTGAAATCCTGTCTCTACTAACAGTACAAACATTAGCTGGCTGTGGTTGTGGGTGCCTATAATCCCAGCTATTCAGGAGGCTGAGTCAGGAGAATCGCTTGAACCCAGGAGGTGGAGGTTGCAGTGAGCTGAGATGACGCCATTGCACTCCAGCCTGGGCGACAAGAGCAAAAAACTCCTTCTCAAAACAAACAAACAAACCAACAAACAAACAACTATGCAAAGGAGAAAGTCATTATTTGGCCGCCACCTCCCCAAGCCTCCTTCTCCTTGTCATGCATTGAATCTGTCCCCTTCTCTCAAACCACATCCCTGGAAGACAGGGCAGCGGTGCCATTTCACAGATGGGGAGACTGAGGCTGGGAGAGGCCCCGCCATAGCTAGCACGGGTGGGCGGACGTGCGATTTGAGTCCAGTCCTGAGTGCTGTCCTGCCTCCCTGGGAACTGCAGAGCCCTGCCCTCTGCTCTGTTTCTCTCCCCTCCACCCCGCTTCTCACTCCTGGAGATCAGGAATGCTGGCCTCCCTGGAGACGCTGGAGCTTATAAGAAAATGGGGGGTGCCTGGGCAGAGGCAATCACACACCCGCTGTGCCAAGCCTGGAAAACCGGCTGGGGAGGAGGAGGAGTTACTTCTACAAACTCCCTCCCCCGTCCCTCCACCTGTCCCCTGCCTGGGGAGCAGGGCATGGTCTGTGCTGGCAGGAGGGAAGGGGGGGTGGAGGCGTGGCCAGGTGACCTTGCACCTGAGTCTAGTGTTCTCATCTCTGCCATGGACATGAAAATAACAGAATCGGCCAGGCGCAGAAGCTCACGCCTGTAATCCTAGCACCTTGGAGGCCGAGGCGGGCGGATCACCTGAGGTCTGGAGTTCAAGATCAGCCTGGTCAACGTGGTGAGACCCCCGTCTCTACTAAAACTACAAAAATTAGCTGGGCGTGGTGGCAGGCGCCTGTAATCCCAGCTACTCAGGAGACTGAGGCAGGAGAATCGCTTGAAGCTAGGAGGCGGAGGTTGCAATGAGCCGAGATCGCACCACTGCACTCCAGCCTGGGCAACAAGAGCGAAACTGTCTCAAAAAAACAACAACAAAAAAGATAGTACATGTAAAGCACCTGGCACAAAGGAAGTGCTTCATTAATTCACTCACTCACTCATTCATTCATTCAGCAAATCCTTCTTGAATCCCTGCTGCAACTCATGTGCTGTTCTAGGCAGGGAACTGAGGGCTCAGTTATGGACAAAGACAAAAACCTCTGCCCTCTAGAGCTGATATTCTAGATGGTGAGGGTGGATAGTGAATAGGCTTTAAAAATCGAGAGAATGTCCAAGGATTGCAAATTCCTTTTTTAATTTTTTTCTTTTCTTTTTTGAGATGGAGCCTTGCTCTGTCGCCCAGGCAGGAGTGTAACGGCGTGATCTCAGCTCACTACAGCCTCCACCTCCCAGGTTAAGCCATTCTCTTGCCTCAGCCTCCCAAGTAGCTGAGACTACAGGCACCCGCCACCATGCTTTGCTCTTTTTTTTTTTTTTTTTTTTTTTTTTAGTAGAGACAGGATTTTGCCATGTTGGCCAGGCTGATTTTGAACTCCTGACCTCAGGTGATCTGCCTGCCTTGGCCTCCCAAAGTGGTGTTGGGATTACAGGCATGAGCCACCGCATCCAGCCTGCCTTTTTTTTTTTTGAGATGGAGTCTTGCTCTGTCGCCCAGGCTGGAGTGCAGTGGCGCAATCTTGGCTCACTGCAACCTCCGCCTCCCGGGTTCAAGCAATTCTCCTGTCTCAGCCTCCCGAGTAGCTGGGATTACAAGTGTGCACCATCACACCCAGCTAATTTTTGTATTTTTAGTAGAGATGGGGTTTCACCATGTTCCCCAGGCTGGTCTCAAACTCCTGACCTCAGGTGATCCACCTGCCTTGGCCCCCAGAGTGCTAGGATTACAGGTGTGAGGCATGGTGCCCGGCCAGGTTGAAAATTCTATGAAGGAAGATACACCAAGGAGAGAGGGAAAAGGTGGTCTGTTGTGGTCAGGAGGGGGTTACAGTTCTAAATGGGGTGATCAGTGGTGACTTCATCAAGGGGGTCACGTTTGAGTTAAGTCCTTGAAGGAGGGTGAGGGATATGGGGAAGGCGCTCCGTGCAGAGGGCACGGCTGGTGCAAAGGCCCTGAGGCAGGACTGCGCCTGGCGTGTTGGTGTTGGAGGGACAGTGAGGAGGCCCGAGTGGCTGGAGCAGAGTGAGCTCCCTCTACCCTGCAGGCCTGGCTTGATCCTCTCCAGGGAGCTGAGCCAGACCTTCCAGAGGGAGAGGGACCAAGAACTTGCTTTCTCTCTGCACCTGCTACTGTTCAGTTCACTTCAGCCAGGTCTCTCCCCCTTGGCACTGCTGACATTCACAGCCGGATTGTTCTCCGGGGTGGGGCCGTCCTGGGCACTGCAGGGTGCTGAACAGCATCCCTGACCTCCACCCACTCCATATCAGGAGCTCCCCCAAGTCATGACAACCACACGTGTCCCCAGACATCGCCCAGTGTCCCCAGGGCGAAGCAGAATTGCCCCTGTTTGAGAGCCACTGACTTAGACCCATTTTGCAGATGAAAAACTGAGTACAGGCCAGGCGCCGTAGCTCACGCCTATAATCGCAACATTTTGAGAGGCCGAGGTGGGTGGATCACCTGAGGTTGGGAGTTTGAGACCAGCCTGGCCAACATGGCGAACCCCGTCTCTACTAAAAATAGAAAAATTAGCCCGGCATGGTGACGGGCACCTGTAATCCCAGCTACTCAGGAGACTGAGGCAGGAGATTCACTTGAACTTGGCAGGCAGAGACTGCAGTGAGCAGAGATTGCGCCACTGCACCCCAGCCTGGGCAACAGAGTGAGACTATGCCTCAAAAAAAAAACAAGGCCGGGCACAGTGGCTCACGCCTGTAATCCCAGCACTTTGGGAGGCCGAGGTGGGTGGATCACTTGAGGCCAGGAGTTAAAGACCAGTCTGGCCAATGTGGTGAAACCCCATCTCTATTAAAAATACAAAAGTTAGCCGGGCGTGGTGGTGCACCCCTGTAATCCCAGCTACTTGGGAGGCTGAGGCAGGAGAATCACTTGAACCTGGGAGGTATAGAGCTTGCAGTGAGCTGAGATTGTGCCACTGCACTCCAGCTTGGGTGACAGAGTGAGACTCCGTCTCAAAAAACAAACAAAAAAACCTGAGGCCCTTAGAGAGGTAGTAACTTGTCACAGGCTCCAACCACAGGCCTGTCAGAGCTTGACTCCTCATCCTGGGGCTGGGGACCCCCAAGTGCTCGGATGATCCTGTGTGACCTCACACCCGTCTTCCCCGTTCCCCTTGACCAGGTGGCCGACATGGAGGAGCTGACCATCTGGGAACAGCACACGGCCACGTTGTCCAAGGTGAGGCCTCCCTCGCCCTGTCTGGGTGCCAGGGGGCATGGTGGCTTAGGCCCAGCTCAATAGAGGGGAGATGCTTTACCCTGCGGGAAACAGCAGCTCTTCCTCCCCCGTATCCTCTCTCAGGACCCTCGCCGAGGCTTTGGCATTGCGATCTCTGGAAGCCGAGACCGGCCCGGTGGATCCGTGGTTGTGTCTGACGTGGTACCCGGAGGGCCGGCGGAGGGCAGGCTACAGTGAGTATCCAGGCAGCTGGGTTCTGTCAGGGGGAGGGCACATCGAGAGGAGAAACCAGGCCGGGTATGGTGGCTCACGCCTGTCATCCCAGCACTTTGGGAGGCTGAGGTGGGTGGATCATCTGAGGTGAGGAGTTTGACACCAGCCTGGCCAACATGGTGAAACCCTGTCTCTACTAAAATTACAAAAATCAGCCCTGAGTGGTGGCGCACGCCTGTAATCCCAGCTACTCGGGAGGCTGAGCTGGGAGAATCGCTTGAACCTGGGAGGTGGGGGTTGCAGTGAGCCGAGATCACGCCACTGCACACCAGCCTGGGCAACAGAGGGAGACTGTGTCTCAAAAAA